ACCTGGGACAAGGCAGAGTGGGAGGATCGCAGGGAAGCACTGGGGGGTCCAACTGCCCTGTGTGGTGACCGTGAGGGCACTCGACCTGAACACTTGACCTTGCACCTGCACGTAATGCCTCAGTAAGGAAAGACCCAAAACGCAAAGGGAGGAGGAAACAGCCTTGCAGGCCTGGCGCTGGACGCTGACAAAGGCCCTGCTCCTTGCGCAGGCCCGCCCCCTCCCCGCCCCACCCCGAAGCTCTGACAGCCAGGCTTGCCCAGGCACAGGATGAACACCTGCGGCCACCGGACAGCRAAGGGGAAATGGCTGCGGAGGACGGAGAGCCTCGGGGACAGGAAGGCTCTCTCAGGTGGCGACGGTGCCCCTGGAGACTCACGTGGGTGTTCTGCCRCAGGGGAATCGTTGCTCACCCAAACTGGCTCAAGTAGAAATCTCTGGGTGTTCAGGGGCTTGGGGAGTAAACAGGAAGCTGTGTGGACATGCTCAGCCCTGGACCTCCCCCAGCGGAAGCCAAGGACAGGGTGGACAAGGCAATTCTGGGAGGCCACCAGTGGGGGCTCCCAGTGAAGACCACAGGACAGTGCTTGGGGTGTCCAGGGACCCATAGGACAGCCACTTTATGCTTGGTAGGACAGACACACAGGGACTGGCACCTCCCCTGCCTGGCCAGAGCTGCCTACTTGGTGGTCATTTAAAAGGAAGATGCACTTAAAAGCTGCCCAACTGTGCCAAGGGTTCTTGGCCTCACCCCAGCCATGCAGGACCCAAAGCACCCTGCTCCCTGGAACAGGGAGATGCCAAGGGACTACAGTCTCACTGAAAAGGGACAGGCRGAGCAGGAATCTCTGCTGCTTCCCTCCAGAGCCAGGGGCCCTGTGAGGTCACACTGGGCAGGCAGGTGCACCACCACACATGTCCAGAGCCTGGACAGTGGCTGAGGGTTCGTGCAGGGCTGATACAGGCCCTGAGTGGTTCTAATTTGCCCTGAGTTCAGGCAGCTCTCACAGGCCGGCCCATGAGGTTGGACACTGGGCTCAGCCATGAACACCAATCTGCTGACCCACAGAATGGTATGCAGGGGACTGTGTGGAACCCCGGAAGCAGCAGCCCAGGGTGGGGGACCAACAAGCAGCAGCCCCCCTGGGAAGRGGCTGACACTGACGTGTGTGGCTGGCATAAGTACCAAGGCAGGCCTTTGCCTCCGACAACAGAGAGTGACAGCTGCCAGCCACAATTAAACATCTGCCGCCCGGGAGGGATGGCCCACGTGTGGCCTGCTGAAGGGCAGAGACGGGGAGGCTACAAGGGCCCCGTGGGACCCAGGAGGTGGAGAGAGGCTGGGCGGCCCGCCCCAACTCTAGCTAAGGCCAGGACAAGGAGGGCAGGCTGGTGTGGTGGGGCGTGCCCTCCGTGGGCTCCTCCCCATGCCCAGCCTGCCCTGCTCCTGGCCTCACGGGCCAGGGTGACACCAGCCCCAGCCACGCTCGGTAGCTGCTCAGGGGTCTGCATGCTGTCTGTCTTCTCAATGGCAAGGCAGAGGCAAGGCAGCAGCGTGACCTTCTGGCCATCACACTGGCCTGGGAGACCAGGTGGGCCCAACTGGGGACAGTTGGAGTCCTCCATCCCCACCATCCCAAGCTGACCCAGGTGCGCAGCCGGGTGGGGGCAGCCAGCACTCCTGGGTTAGCCATGGGATATGCAGACACCTACCTGGCTAGAAGCCCTGGAGAGTTCAGGTGACCTTGGCCCTGTGCCCCACCCTCTAGAGAAGGGCGGGTGAGGAGTGGGGTGGCTGTGTGGGCCAGGACCAGGCTCTACCTGGGTGCTGGGGCTCTAGAGAAGCCGGTCCTGACGTGCGTCAGGTCGGGATGGGCGCAGGCAGACTGTGTCTCTAGAAGGGGACCCCGTGTGTGTGTGCACCCATGTGTGCTGTACTCTGAGAGCTCCCAGCAGCCCAGGGAGCTGTGCTGGGAACAGACACTCCAGCCCTGCGACACGTCCCCCCGCCTGGGGGCTCTGGCCCCTCTGCGCCTAAGTGCCCTGGCCACAGGCTAGAGTGGCAGGTAGACCACAGGGCCAGAGGCAAGTTGCCCTGCCCACTTAGTGATGGCAACCTCCCAGGGGGGTGGAGAGGGATGCTGGCGGGGGGCAGAGGAGAGGGGCCTGGCCAGCACCCGCAAGTGGGGACCCAGCCAGCAAGCATCACGCCTGGGGGCTCCGGTATACCCCCCAGCTTCCCAGTGGCATCATTAATGTCATAAATTGAAAAAAACTAATGTCCTTTGAGGACACTAGATAAATCAAGGGTGTGACTCTGCCTGGTGGAGGCCAGTATGGGACATGAGAGATGAAGAAGGCAGACACGGGTGCGGCCAGATGCACAGCTGGGCTGGGGTCCCAAGGCAACGGGCAGGCTGTCCCCTCATGACTGTCCATTGCACAGGGCTGCCCGTGCTCTCAGTGCGGGGGAGGTGGGCCTCCACAGAATTTCAGGCACACAATGGGCACTGGACCAGAGATCCCTGAGGTTACCCTGACCGACCTCTCCCTTGACAGTGGGAAACTGAGGACAGGGAGAAGGGAAACCTCACGGGGACACTGGGAGCACTCCACATTCCACCAGCTCGGTGACGGGAGTGCTGCCCAGCCCTCGGGGGGCCCAGGCAAGGGGCAGCAGACTGCTGGCCCCACAAGCTGTCCCCAGAGGAGGCTGGGCCCAGTGCTGGAAGCCCAGGGCATGGGGCCCGGCTCCCCAGGGGCCGCCCTCCTCTCCTGCCTCCCATGGCCTCCCTCCCCCAGCACACCCTGATGCCAGCAACGTCACTGCCAATAACCTAGATTTTAACCAAGAAATCTCACACCCCCTTCCTCTGCCCCACTTATGGACCTGCTGAACAGCAAGCCACAAGAAAACCCAGACTGTGGCTCCGTGAGCCACGCAGGACAGGGCCCACAGCACCCAGCACATGGCCCCACTGCCAACACTGCCCAGGTCGGGCAGGGCCAGCCAGGGCTCCCTCCCCCACCTGTCACCAGCCCCTGCAGGGGTCCCCTGGCCCCAGAGCTCTATGTTCTATCTGAGCACCGGGAGAGCTGGAGAGAGGCCTGGCCTGGGCAGCGGGCCGCTCGGAGCAGCGCGACATCCTGACCCCCACCCTGCACATGCCAGCTCTGGAAGCCTCTTCGTGGCCACGTCCCCCGGCTCCTCAGAAAACCCCTGGAGGCAGGGGGGTTGTCCCTGTTCCTGTCCAGTGAGGGCTCTGGCTGACCAGGCATAAGGGACAGGGGACTGCACAGGCTGTAGGACCACACCGTGCTCCCAGTCATCCTCACACATACCCATTTCCCACCATCCCAACAAGCCATAGCTAAGGTCACTGCAGGAGGCAGGACTGTGAGGGGACAGGAGAAGACCAGAGACCTGTCCCCAGCTCTGTGGTTCACCACCGGAGAACACCAACGAGGCCCCCTGCCACCGGGCCCCAGCACCAATGCTCCCCTAACCCATCCACAGGGCTGTGTCCAGCCACCAGCATGGCGAGTCCTCAGGACCACAGGACACGCAGGTTGGCCGGGATCTACTCTGGGAGTAGATCAGAGTGACAGCCCCATCCTGTGCAAACCCCCAGCCTTGTGGGCCCGGGAGGGGGATCAGGGCCCTTCTGTTCCTAGCACAGGGGCAGTCAGCGGGCACAGAGCACACTGCACACGGGGCGGATTCCCTGAAGTCAGAGGCTGAGCGGGTGCCTGAGTGTGAGGACCGCACATCCAGGCCAACTCGGGCACTGCTGCGCTTCTTGATTTCAGGAAAAAAAACCCACCCTGACCCTGCCATAAGAAGAAAACGCATCTGCGCTTCTTGATTTCAGGAAAAAAAACCCACCCTGACCCTGCCATAAGAAGAAAACGCATCCAGCCCCGGCCTCAGCAGCCTGAAAGCCACTGTTCTGAAGGACGTGTGCAGAACGACACTTTCACACAGAGACGATGCCACAGGGTCTGGGGCTAGGGCAGTGGCTTCCCCTGCAGGCTCTGAGAAGGAGTGGGGTGGCCCCAGCAGAAGCTGAGACCTTGCCACCCAGTCTGCAGCCACAGCTGCTCCAGAGGCARCTGGCCATCCCAAGAGCCCAGGCTGGGCACTGCTCCTGACTGCCCCAGCACTGATGGACCCCTGAGGCATGAGACAAGTGGCAAACGGGGTGGAGAGAGTCCCCGTGCTGCCCCTTGGCCCATCCTCCCACTGCAGCACCATGTGCTTGGGTCCAGGCCACCACATATGGCCCTGCATGCAAATCAGCACAAGCAGAGACCCAGGCACACTACAGGCTTTCAGGGAACGCCCCAGCCTGGGCCCCCATGGCTGGACCCTCTGCCTAGTGAGCCCTGTGGTCTCCAGGATGTTCTCCACAAGGCCTGCATCTCAAAGTAGGGCATCCTGGGCTTACTGGTCCCAAAAGAGGGAGCATCCCCCCTTAGCAGAAAGAATGAGAGGGCACTCATGCAGCTCTCAGAACTTTCTGGTCTGTCCGCTGGGGCGGGGCCCAGGGAGGTGGGCAATAGATAGGAACCTCGGGATCAGAGGAAGTAAAACCTCACAGAGGACAAAGACACTGAGGTGGAAGGGGAGGGAGGCAGGACTTGTGGGGTACCACACTGGTGCCGGGCACTTCACAGACAGGGACACCAAGGCCTTGAGCTGGCAGCAACTGTTCTGTGAGCCCTCAGGAGGTCACTGGGCCATGGAGACCCTTGGTTTCCTCATCTGTCCAGTGTCAGGACCCTTCCTGCATGTGCCACTGCAGCTCTGGCAGAGGCTTGTGACCTGCCATCTCATCAGCATCAAGCCTGAGCTCCTTGGTGGCAGGGACCCTGTCCACCTACCACTCGGGCCAGCTGCTCCCATCTCCTCCAACCTCTCTCCCCGTGCCCGCAGCACAGAGGCCTCCCCAGTCAGGCTGCAGTGCCCCGTGCCCACAGGCCTGCCGGCCTGTCGTTACCTGCGTAGCTGCCTGTGGCCTTGATRTACATCTGGCCATACTGCTCCTCCACCATGGTGTCGTAGGCCTCGTCGTCCTCCTCCTCCTCCTCATTGTGGTAGGAGGTGGGGCTGTCGGTGGTGGGTAGGCTGCTGGCCCCCGGACTGGTCCGCTCCCCCTGGGGGTAGGGCACCTGCTGGATGCTGGGGATGAGGGTGGCCAGGCTGGGCACCCCATAGTAGGAGACTCGGGGCAGCTTGAGAGGGGCCGCGCCAGCCGCCACCGCCACGCCGTCCCGGGGCCCCGTCTCCAGTGGGCGCTTGGGAGCTAGGCCTGGGCCTGCAGCTGGCGGCAGCTCCATGGCTTCATGCTTTACACGGGTCAGCAGCGGGATGGGCACAGAGGGGGACACGACGTAGGGGGTGGCGGAGGTGGCAGCAGCCGGCTGCAGCTGGTTGCAGGGACTCTGGGGTTCGGAGCTGGCGTCCTCAATCATGGTGGTCTGCGAGTCGCAATGGGGCGAGCTCACCTTGAACATGAGGTCTGTGCCGCGCTCCACGATGTGCTGGATCTGCAGGAAGCCGGCTGTGTACATGACCACTAGCTGCTCGCTGGCCGCCATGGTGAGCTTGCCTGTGTAGCAGAAGGACAGGATCTGCTGGAAGCAGGCAGGTGGCACCGTGCCTGGCAGCTCGAACGCACTCTTGCTGTTGCCACTAAACAGGTCGCGGAAGTAGAGGCTGCTGGCGGCCAGCACGGCCCGGTGGGCCTTGAAGGCCTGGCCCTTGACCACGATGGACACATCGCAGTAGAGGCCCAGCAGCCGTTGCTCGTTGAGGCAGCCAAGCACAGTGTTCCCAAAGTTGGGGATCTCGATGTGTAGCATCTGAGACATGGTGGACGGCGTGTGGATGGGCCTCAGACTCAGCGCGGGGTGGCCCGAGTGGGGCACATCTGTGGGGGGACAGCATGGTCAGTTCCCTGTCCTCACAAGTGCTCCCTGTCCTGCCTGCCAAGCACCCACCTGTGTCCCTGACCCCTACAAAGGGCAAAGTACCAATGTGCCCTCCTGGCTGGAGGAACCCCAGAGAAAGGCTCTGGGGGTCTTATGGTCAGGACCCTGGCTGAGGGACAGGGCAATATGATCCAGGGCATGGCACACAGGGACAGCTGCTTACCCACCGGGCAATGCTGCCCATGGCACCCCTGGACTGCTCCATGAGACCCCCCAGGGCAGAGCTTCAGACGCCAGTCTTTGCAAAAAACACAGGGCAGAGGCTGAACCCAGGGAGGGCACAGGACAGGACTGGGCTGGTTGGGACAGGCAAGTCACCCGCGGAGGGCKGGGGGAGGGGAGAGGGCCAGTCTGTGAGAGTTGCAGCAACTAGCAACTAGCGGTTTCAGGGAAAAAGTTCCCTGCMGACAAGGAGCCCCTCCCTACGACCTGGGGAGGGGCCCATCTCAGAGCCCAGGTCTTCCCAGGCGTCAGTTTCCTGTGGGCCTTTCCCTTTCCCCTCAGAATAGCCCTGCGCGAACCTTGGGGAACTGGGTTGGGCAGCTGTCCCCTCTCGGGTTCCTGCCCAGCCCCAAGCCTCCCTGGGAYGGTGGGGAGGCGCAGGGGGCGCCCCGGGAAGTGAGCTGAGTTCGGCCAGCTGCACCCCCACTCCTCCCCCGCGGAGGGGCCTCTGTCCGAGCAGAAGGGCTCTCGTGTGCCCGTCCTCCCGGGCAGCCCCCAGCAGGCGCGGACCCTGACCCAGGTCCCCAAGCGCAGCGGCGGGCGGTCTGGAACGCRCAGCCGGGAGCTGGAGTTGGAGCTGCCGCAGCCCCGCTCACAGGCGCCCTCCCTCCCGGCCCGCTTCCAGCGCTGGCCAATCCCTGCTGGCTGGTCCCAGCCCAGGTAACCGGAGGGGTCTCAGGAGGGTGCGGGGGCTGGGCAGGCGGGGGCCACAGCCACTGTTTACCGGGCGCCTCCGCGAGGGGGGCGGGGGTGGCCGGAGAAGGCGCCGGCCCAACTCCAGGGCCACACAAAGGGCCGCTGTGTCCCGCGGAGGAAAGTGCAGCGGCCGCAAAGGCGCCGAGCGCCGGGAGGAGGGCGGAGCCACCCGCGCCAGGAGTTGGGCAGGTGGGCGCCACCAGAGGCCCGCAGTGCCCCCGCTGCAGAGAAGTTGCCGGCGCGGCCCGGGGCACCCRCGGTGGGGACCTACCTTCAGCCGCTGCGGCCGCGGCCGACGCTGCCCGCTCAGCCCGGCAGGGCAGGCTCCCCACTCGCCCGCCCGCCCGCTGCTCCGGGAATGCAGCAAACGGAGCCGGAGCCCCGGGTRGGGAGGGCGGGAGCCGGGAGGGGGGGCCGGCCGGGCGCGGGGCTCGGCGGCCGCAGCTCAGCTGCACCCAGGCCGGCCCTCCCGGGCAGCGCGCAGCATCTCAATGAAGCGGCCGGATGCAGACGAACATTCAGGCAGCTCTCAGGAATGAATAGCCGCCTTTGATTTGGGAGCTGAAGTAAATGCCAGCTCCCAGCCCCGGCTTTAAAAACAGTGGCGCGTTGGTGCCAGAGGAATGCACGGCTCCGGGTGTTGGTGCAAGACAGACTTTTGATGACTCACTGCAATGCAAACAAAGATGGCAGAAATACTGTACTGTACGTGGAGAAATGCTTGGTGGTGCCACGGCAACTGAGACAGCCTGGAAATTTATAGTGCAGTTTTGCATATGAATTACCCAGTAAACTGCCTCCCTGCCATCCAGTACAGCCCCAGTGTCAAAGCATTTAAACTATTCCAAACAGTCTGCAGGGCTGGCACAGCCGCAGCTTAACTCTTCCAGGGCAGGCTGGTGGCTGGGTGGGGGGCTGGGCAGGGGCTGGGGGCCGGATGGGCTAGGGGACAGCTGGGTGAGGAAGGGGAGCAAGCTTGGAGGGAGGAGGGAGGAGGGAAAACAGCAGTGGCCCCCGGAGAGACACAGATCAGGGCCCTTGGCTCCACCTCCTCCCCCTCTCCTTGGGGCCTCATAACCATGTCCCCTGTGTGGCCAATGGGTCCCAAAGCAGCGGACCCAGCCAGTCCTGTCCCAGAACCCTCTCACCCCAACTCTTCTCATCCCTGCCTGGCCCTTTAAGAACAACTTTGTGGCCAGGCGGCTCTGCTCCTGCCCACAGTGGAGGTGGGCACCTGCTCTCTGTACACCTGGTGGTAGCTACAGGGTCTCCCTGCACACCCAGCAGTGAAGTCTAACTGTGCAGTGCCGAGGGGTCCTCAGCTGTGCATCCCTGGGGCACTTTCTGGGGATGGGCAGCTGTGCAGTGCTAGTGCAAAAGGAGGCACCTCCTTCCTGGCTCACAACACCTGGTAAACCTCGAGGACCCTGGGGCACACCATTGGAGAGCCACCTAGGTTACCCACCTGCCACTAACAGTGTTCCCCAGCAAGAACATATTCTACCAGCAAGAAGCCAGACTGGAGTGGGAGGTGGTGAGGTCTGCGGCACTCCAGCCCAGATTCTGCCACCTGCCACTGTCACCCTTGAAACCACAGCAGGAAGTAGGCCTGGTGGAGGCCACACCACCCAGCCCCTCAGCCCAGCATCCCCTCCAAGCCATCCCAAGATGAAAGGAGGAGACATCTGCACCTCCCTGTCTACACACTGTGGGCTCCACTTCCAAACACCAGACAAAAAGCCGGCACAGGGGAAGAGGAAATGCAGTGGGGAAGTCACCCATGGGCCATGCAGAGGGCCTCTGGGGTGGATTTGTGCCTGGTCTTCTTTGCCTTCCACAGAGATTAGAGATTAATGACAACTCTTGGGGTAACTGTGAGAGGCACTGGGATGGTTGCAGGATGGCTCAGCGGCTTGAAGAGCTGGGCTCCTGAGGCAAGGAGGCCTAGGGCTCAGTCCTGTCTCCCTAGAGGCCACACCTCTGCCCTCGGGTTGCAGCTGTCGCTGCTTCCTCCAGGAAGTCCTTCAGGTACCTGCCTCAGGAGGCCCACAAGGGCAGGGCCAGGTGTGCCCAGGGCCTGGTGGGTAGTGAAYTGGTTGCTTACTGCTGGATGGAGACTCTGCTGCCCAGCCACCCACAACATGAAGGGAAGGGCCCTACAGGCTMCCTTCACAGAGGCCTGGGCACCCCTCACCAGGGCCTCCCAGTCAGCCTCTGCTTCTGTGCAGGCAACCTCAGCCAAGGGCAGTGAGGCAGGGCCACCTGAGCCAGCAGGGCTCTCCTGCCAGGAGAGGTGGCCTAGCCCGGCCACAGGTAGACAGAGGCCAGCACCCTGTACACTGGCTCAGAGGGTCCTGAGGCAGCCAGGTGCAACACAGCAGGGAGCAGAGCATACTCCTGGGCCTATCCCTTCCAACGGAGCAGGCCCTGGCCTTTCAGCCAGGTTGAAAGCCCAGGTCCTGCTGGCACCAGGCCCTGTGTCCTTCCCATGACACTGCAGTCTCAGGTGCCCACTGTGAACCCAGGGTCAGGGTGGACCCTGGGACAGCCAYTGAGGACAGAAAGAGGCAACCTTCGTAAGGCCTTCAGCTTGAGCACAGGGCATGCTGGCAATACCAGTGACTCGCCGTGACCCGGGCAGGTGGGCACCTGCATCCACGCCTCAGGGCCTGAGCCAGAAAAGGGGCCATTACATCCCCAGAAAATGATGAGGCCAACTCATCTCTGGGGACTGAGGACAACTGGCGCTTGTGCTTCCCTGTCCTCAGGCCACCTGTCCTGGCAAGGCTGCTGCCCACACCTGGCCCGCGAGAACCGGATAGGAGCTGGTTTTAGGTTGCTTTCTTAGAAGCCTTGCCTGGGGCAAGAACAAAGCTGAACTTTAGGAGGAAAGAATAAGTGGACACTCTCAGGGACTGAAAGCAGGACAAGCCAAGGGCTGCCCCTCAAGCTGTAGCTGGAGAGGAAAGGGCCTCTGACTAAACAGGCCATGGGCTGCAGCACAGCTGCCCAGGGGAGGGACTAGGCCTGGGTCTTGGAACACAAGGGCCACCTCACCACTCCCCACACAGCAGTGGTCAGTATGTTCTGTGACCTCTCCCTCTGTGACTCAGTTTCCCCATCCCTCTGCTGCCCCGGCAAGGCTACCGAGCCTGTTTCCCCTGAGTGCCCTTTGCTCACAGAAACTTCTCAAGAGTTGAGCAGAAAGTGCACCAGCCACCTCCCCAGCAGGGTGCCTTTCAGAATGGAAACCGCTTGGGAAACCCATGAAAATAACCTAAATCCCAGGTCCAGGCCCCACTACGGGCCTGCCTGTGCCCTCACCCCACACGGACACATACAGAAGGCTCCTCTGGGCCCACAGACCCCTCCCAGAGGGAGAGAAGATGGTTGGGAGGAGGGGAGGGGGGTCTTCTCTGCAGGCACTTCCCCAGATGAGGTGGGATCAGGCAGCCCCCAAAGGCAGTGTGACCACAGAAGAAGGGTGGGTACAGGAGCAAGAGCCRGACACACACAGGAGCTGGCCAGTGTCTGACAGAAAGGACAGCCCTGCCAGAGTCTGGTCCCAGGAGGGATTCAAATAAGGACACCAAGTCCCAGGAGGGGGCCAAGCCAAGGCTGGCCACATCGGACTCCAGGTGCGACTGGGGACAGGTGCTCCAGCAGATACAAGACCACCCAAGAGCATCTCCCAGGCCAGGGTGTGGGGACAGGGACAGAACGGCTGACCTGGAGGGCCACCTTCTTGGAGGGCCATGCACTTGGCTTCTGCAGGATCACTACCAGCAGGGAAAGCGAGGCGAGACGATCAATTAAATTACATTACTTTGCAGGATTTAATTTTACCAACTGGTAAGAGGTCCTGGCCTCAGCAGACACGCAGCCCTCTGCAGTCGAGGAAGGGGGGGCGGGAGGCACTGGGAGTGCCTGTGGAGAAGAGGGAGCCCTGCCCCATCTATTCCAGTTAGAAACCCCTCCCCAGGAAGCCCTGTCCACCCTGTCAGAGGCCCCTCCCCAGGGG